ATTAAAAAATTTAAAAAAAAATTAACCAAGTAATTATATTTTTAAAAAATATTAATTGAATTAAAAAAATAAAAATTATGTTAATTCAATCAACTAAATTAAAAAAAAAATAAAAAATATATTAAAACATAATTATAGTTTTAAAATAAATAATAAAATAATAAGAAACAAATAAAAAATTAAACAATAATTTTAACAAATAATTACCTTTTTAATTAAAATAAATATTAATTTAATTAAAAAAATATATATAAAAAATAACTATATTTTAATAAATATTAATTAAATTAAAAATACCAAAATAATTATATTTTTAATAAATAAAAGTTATAATTGAATTAAAAAAAGATTTAAAAAAGTTGTTTAACCAAGTAATTATATTTTTAAAAAATATTAATTAAATTAAAAAAATAAAAATATATTAAAAAATAATATTTTTTATAAATATTAATTAAACTAAGAAACAAATAAAATTTATAATAATTATAAAAATTAATATTAATTTAATTTAAAAAATATATTAAAAATAACTATATTTTTCAATATATTTTCTAAATTAAATTAATATTTATTTTTATTAATATTATAATTATTTGTTAAAATAATAATTTAATTTTTTATTTGTTTCTTAGTTTAAAAAATAAAAATATTTTTAATAAATAAAAGTTTTAATTAAATTAAAAAAAGATTAAACAATTTGTTTAACCAAATAATTATATTTTTAAAAAATATTAATTAAATTAAAAAAATTTAAAATTATGTTAACAAATAATCATATTTTTAATAAATATAATTACTAACTAAATTAAAAAAAAATAAAATATTAAAATATATTTTTTTTGTAATAAATATAAATAATAACTAAATAAAAAAAAAATTAAAAAATTAAAAAAATGATATAACCAAATAATTATATTCTTAATAAATACTAATTAAATTAAAAGACTAAAAAATTATGTTAACAAATCATTTTAAAAAATAAAAATATTAATTAATTAGCAAATCAATTTTCTTTAATTATGAATGTTTTATTTTATTATTTTTATTCTATAAAAAAAATAAAATATATATAATAAAATATAATATTTTGAATACACACATATTTTTAAATAATTAAAATTCTTAAAAAAAATCTACTAGCACTCATACCCTTTATCCTTCTTTTTTGCATATTTTGTTTTTAATTCTAGAGCATACTTTTAGTAAAAAATTAAAAAAAAAAATAAATATATATAAAAGAAAAATAAAAATAATAACATTTCTAAAAAATGTATATATTGATTAAATTAAAAAAATACAAAATTAATATTATTTAAATTCTAATGTTTTATTTTATAAAAAATGTATATAATACTTTGAATATAGAAATATTTTTAAATATAAAATTCTTGAAAAAAATAGCACTTATGTCCCATCTCCTCCATTTTTTTTATATTTTGTTTTTAAAACTAGAACATACTTTCAGAAAAAATGTAAAAAAATTAAAAAAAAACAGAAAATAATTATATATTTAACAAATGTAAATATTAAATAAATTAAAAAAATATAAAATTAATATAGTTTAATTAAAAATATTTTTTAAAACATATGTTCATCCATTAACAAGGCAAAACTAAAAAAAAAATATTTTATTTTATATAAAATATATACTAAATACTTTGAATATAAAAACATTTTTAAATATAAAATTCCTGAAAAAAAATCTTCTACTCATATCCCCCGTTCTCCATATTTTGTATATTTTGGTTTTAATTCTAGAGCATACTTTTACTTTGTTCCAATAAAATCAGAATATAAAAGCATACTTTCCGGCTTTCCCCTTCGTAACTTGCCCGCCCCACAAAGTAAATAATTTCATGACTTAACAAATTATTGCACAAACACCACCACTCTGAACTTAACTGAATGACACTCAATTTTGCCAAAATCATAAAAAACAACAACAACACAATTTTCTCGGCAAATATTTTTCCAAATGAAATTCGAAAGTAAAACATTCGAGTTTTGCCAACTTAAAATGTAAGTAAATATTACAAAGTACAGCAAATATACTTATGTCAATGTAAATGTAAATATGGATGTGTGTGTGCGTGATGAGAGACTAAAAGTTTTAGTTGGATTGAAAATGTAAACAGCCAACAACAACAATAATAATAGAAAATTGCAAAATATCGTAATAAAATTATGATGAGAGAGATCATTTTTAATGTGTGTGCGAATGGGTTTCCCATCCCTGGATGAATTTGTAAACTTCTCCAAACACTCTATCAAAATTACATTTGCAAATAAATCTGGGGAAAAAATTAAAGTTTTTGTGGGTTTTTTGTTATTTTTTCGCATTACTTTATGCAGTGAGCCCGAAAGTATGCTATGGAAAATATACACACAGAAATTTAGTTGTTTGTTTGCTTTTGTGTTAGATAAGTAGCTTATCATTTCCATTACACTTACCATTTCGAAACAAAAAGAGATTTTATTTTCCTTGCCCCCACACCCTCCTCATCACTTCTCCCTTCCACCAAAATGGCCATCTACCGAATTCCAGCTTAAACCAAAGACGAAAAAAGCAAAAACAAAAACAATTTCCATAACATGTCACAACTGTTTTGTTATTTCACACTGCCTGCCCATCCATCGAGGGACCGGACCCCATCGAAACTAAACTAAAATGAAATGGTGCCAGGCATCAAATCATAAAAGTCTTATGGACTTTATTAGCTGCTGTCCTTTTTTGTTTGCCACTGCCAAATGACCATTATGCCTATCTGGATTTCTGTTTCGACATTTTTCCCGGTAATCTCTCTCGCGCTCTAAGCAATGCAATGTCAGGGTCCATAAAATGTATTAAAGCCAAGGAACATTTTCGAGAAACAAAAAAAAAACAACAAAAAAGTAATAAACAACTGAAACTGAAACAAATTGAAATCTCAATGAGAAAATGAGATAAGCAAAAGAAAAGAAACGAAGAAAAAAAATCTAAAACTAAAATAAAAATCAAGCAATTTGCCAAGGGAGAGGATAGAAGAAATCAGGAAAAACTTTGATATGCATATTTGGAGGCATAGAATTGGGGGGAATGAGAATAAAACATCATTTCGGAATCCATGTAATATGGCTCAGGAATTCAAATGCAAACAAATTACGTATTTTCTGATATCTCAAAAAAATATATTTTTAATTTTAAAGCATACTTTAAGGCAAAACGAAATATATTTTTAAAAATGAAATCATTTCAGAAGAAGCAGCTAGTTTTTAAAATCATTTAAAAAAGTATTGGAAAAATATTACTCAAAAAAATTGGAGCATACTTTTAGGCACCCAATAAAAAATTCAAAATTAATTTTTACAATCCAATATAAAATTCTATTCAAATACCACAAAAATTCCATAAACTTAAAAAAAACAATAATTGATAAAATTTTAAAGCATACTTTTAGGTAGTCGATTTTTTTCTTTCAACAAATCTCCCAGACATATTAAGTTATGAAAATGCGTTCATATCTCTTAGAAATAATATAATATACCAATAACTACCAAGAATTCTTTTATAAATTCAGGGTATACTTTTAGGCATTTCAAAAATTGTTTAAATAAATTACGTCTATCTATAATGAAATAAAATTTAGAATTTTAATGAAAATTATTTAAAAAACTTTTAATGAGGTCCCCAGATTATTAAAGAAAATTTAAACATTATTTATAAAAATTGGAGAATACTTTTAGGCATTGGAAAAAAATAAAATTAATTCTAGCAATTTACAATAAAAAGTTGTGGAAGTTCTGAAGAGGCCGTCACATCTTAAAACAATTTTAAAATTTCTCAGAAATTATTAACAGTTATTTTTTATAAATATTGAGCATACTTTTAGGTGTTTTAAAAACTATCTCCATTTATAATATTTGCAAAAAGGCCATCATATCTAAAAAAGTTTTAAAATTACTCAGAAATTATTATCAGTTCTTTTTATGAATTTAGAGCATACTTTTAGGTATTTAAAAACTTGTTTTATAAAATACCTTCATTTATAATAAAATAAAAGTTATAAAAATAATAAAAAAAATTTTATCTAAAAATAATAAAATTTTGAAGCATACTTTAGGCCAGCATACGCTCTTTTAATATAATTCGTTAATAGTTGAAGTTGGGCTTGATTTTTCTTATAAAACGAATTCTCCCAGAAAAAGAAAATATATATTTTTTAATTAATTTTTAATGTCGGAGAATGCTTTAAAGAAATCTGCAAAACATATTTTTAAACAGTTTTTATTTTTTCCAAAAAAAAAAAAAAATTCCAAAAAATCGGAGCATACTTTAGGGCATTCAACATATTTGTTGAAAAAAAACTTTCTATTCATATTTTACTTAAATCAGTGTATTAAAATGAGCGTTGTAACTAACATTTATAAAAATTTCGAAGTATACTTTAAGGAGTGCAAAACATTTTTTTAATGAAATCTAACTATTACTGATAAAATATTTACAACAAGAAACCTTAAATAGTTACTTCATTTTTTAAAAAAAAAGGAACAAATTGTGATGCATACATTCAGGGGGTCCGCATTTAACAGATTTTTTTTTTTTGATATTTTTCAATACCTCAGACTAATGAATTTTCAATATCACCTTTTAATAAAACTTTAGAAAAGTTAAAATTAAGTTTTTAAAATTTTAAAAATTAAAGCATACTTTTAGGCTTCCTAGATTTTTAAAAAAATCCCCTTTTTATATTATTATTTAAGAATTACAATATTCTGTATATATTTTCTGATGAAGAGCTACTAAAAATTTGGAAACAAAAAAAACACCTTTATCTCTTGACCAAACCCCATACTTTTAGGCATTCCCAAAAAAACATTGATTTACTTAATCTCAAAATTTCTATCATTATTATTATTATTGTATTTCTTTAGTTCTTTAATTTTCAAAATCCTTAATTGAAATTACCTATTATATTTATATATGTGTATTTCTTTTTCTTTTCTTTCCTTTCGTTAACCAGGCTTCCTTCTCGAAGGAGTTACGCCTACGGCACCACCAGATGTACCACCTAGAAATCCCACAATGAGTCGCATGAATAATGGTCGTTTAGTAGCAGCAAATCCAAATGATTTGGGTGTCGATTTTGAGCCCTCATGTCTGGTGCGTACACCCTCGGGCAACGTATACATTCCCAGCGGTAATTTAAGTAAGTAGTACGCCTTTCGTTTTGCCATTTTTTCTTAGGAATAAGTCAATATTGGAGTCAATTTAGAATATTTGGATTTTAGGGGGGGTTGGGAATTTTTCCATTTTCACTCCATCGGGTAAATTTGTTTAATGCTGCAAATCGCCAGTAACTGCATGCAAAATATTTGCCAACAAAAAAAATGTATCCAAAATTTCAAATTCTCGGCAATTTTTGGCATCAACTAACAAAGGCTTTGGGCTGTTACTCCCTCTCTCACACAACAACAACAAAAACAAATCGATAAGAATTTCCATATAAATTTAGTTCATTCTTTTCAGTTTATATTTATATACATACATGTATATTGTTTTTTTTTGTGATTTTATTTTATTTTTATTTTTGTCGATTTCCCATTCATAGCCTAAAAGTATGCTTTGTTATGCAAAAAACATTTAAGTTGTTTTGAATATTTTTGTTTCACAGAATTGTGTTTTTTTTTTGCATGTAAGAAGGGCTAGTAAAAAATCCATATGTATGAGTAGAAGTAACAAAAAATTCCAAAAAGGTGTTACGAAAATTTCAACTATTTCACAAAGGCTTAAATTTTCAATATATTGCATATTTTCGGGTGCTTGGGAGGAGACAAGCAAAAATCTTTTAAACAATGGCCATGGGTATTAGAAGAAAATAGAAAAAAGAAAATAAAGTAATAAAAACAAAAAGGGGAGATTAAACAAAATTATTAAAAGAAAAATATGAAGTATACTTTTAGGTAGGAAGAAAATTTAAAAAAATCATAAAATTTGGTATTTTTAAAATAATTTAAAGAATTTACTGAATTTTATTTTTAACACCATTGAACATTGTGGTGCAAAATTTAAAAAAATTGTAAATGAAAAAATAGAGCATACTTCTAGGATTGTAAAAGAAACCTAAAAATTCATAAATAGTAGTATATCTAAAAATAGTTTTGAGATTTGCCCGAAAGGTGTTTATGACACCTTTGAACTTTTTGGTGTAACAAATGTCATTATAAAAAATGCTGCATACTTTTAGGTAGATTTTTTAATTTTAAAGTTGTAAGAGTAATAAAAGGAAGACTAAAATGACAATACAAGACATAAACCATGACAGAAGGAAAATATTAAGTATATTTTTAGGATAAAATATTTATAAATATCAAAAAGTCTTGCATTTTTTACTTTTTTAGGTTATATTAAAATATAAAAAATATATATAATTTATAATATGTAATAATAATAATAATAATAATAATAATAATAATAATAATAATAATAATAATAATAATAATAATAATAATAATAATAATAATAATAATAATAATAACAATAACAATAATAATAATAATAATAATAATATTAATTAAAATAATACTAATAATAATAATAATAATAATAATAATAATAATAATAATAATAATAATAATAATAATAATAATAATAATAATAATAATAATCTTAATTATAATTATTTACTTATGATTATAATTATAATATAAAGAATATAATTTCCATAAATATAATTATAAATTTAATTACAATAATAAAAATATTTAAAATAATAATTTTAAAAATATTTTTTCTGTAATTCCCTAAAAGTATGCAACACATTCTTTTAAAGAAAAAGTTAGTTGTAATTTCTGTCTTAAAAAACTACTATTTATATTTCATATAGAAATCTTCAAAATATGGTTCTATTACAAAGCGCCTAAAAGTATGCCACAAAATTTTTCCTAAAAAAGTTACTTGCCTTTGTCGTTATGTCTTGAAAGAAACACTTCTTTACATTTCTTAAAATATTCATAAAAAAAATAATATTTTTATAATGTCATCCCAAAAGTATGCCACATATTATTTTTGCAGTAACTTGTTAGTTGTCCTTTTTTTGTCTTTAAAAAAAATACTATTTTAATTACATAGTAATAATAATAATATTAATAATAATATAAATAATATTAATTAATATTAATAATATTAATATTAATATTAATTAAAATAATACTAATAATAATAATAATAATAATAATCTTAATTATAATTATTTAATTATGATTATAATTATAATATAAAGAATATAATTTCCATAAATATAATTATAAATTCAGTTACAATAATAAAAATATTTAAAATAATAATTTTAAAAATATTTTTTCTGTAATTCCCTAAAAGTATGCAACACATTCTTTTAAAGAAAAAGTTAGTTGTAGTTTCTGTCTTAAAGAAAAATACTATTTATATTTCATATAGAAATCTTCAAAATATGGTTTTATTACAAAGCGCCTAAAAGTATGCCACAAAATTTTTCCTAAAAAAAGTTACTTGCCTTTGTCGTTATGTCTTGAAAGAAACACTTCTTTACATTTCTTAAAATATTCATAAAAATATAATATTTTTATAATGTCATCCCAAAAGTATGCCACATATTATTTTTGCAGTAACTTCTTAGTTGTCCTTTTTTTGTCTTTATAAAAAAATACTATTTTTAATTACATTTTCTTTTCTTTTGTGTTATTCATTTATTCACTTCCCCCCGCTTGCAACTTGGCTTGTTAATCTTTTTCACAATTAAAAAGGCTGCAGCGAAAATATTTTCTTCGCTAACAAGATTTTATGGAGCATCACTTCTTTAAACACGCACACACATGTACATATTTTTTTCGCGCTTACCTTACTTGCCATGGCTTAGTCATTTGTGGATAGTAGGACGCTGCCATAATGACAGCAGTAAACAACCAAGCAAGCAAGAACAAAAAAAGCAAAAAAGAAACAGACCCTTGCAAAAAGGAAATCTGCATATATAATTAAAATTACAGTGCATATGTTAAGGCGTTTTTCACTACATGTCTACGGTTATCAAATAGATGTGGCACATGCATGGATATTTTAAGCATATTAACATGCCTTTACTCTTTGGAGTGTCTGTGTGTGTGTGTGTGTGCAAAATTTGCTTTATGCCTTTCCACTCGTTGGGGATATCTCTCCCTCTCTCTCCCGCCCGCCCTCTTGCTGGCTGCCTGCCTGCCTTTGCTGCTCATAATGAAAATGTTAATTAAAATAATGTATTACTGCAGTTAGACTTATACAATGGCATTTGTGTGAGGGGAGCTTTTGCACACAAAAGCCCCGCTAGCTACTGCTACTTGGCATCAGCTATGCAGGCAGGTCTCCCCTAGCCGCTTTTCTATGTTACGCGCTATGCTGGCCTAACCCTGAATTGGTTGGTTGGTTGCTTGGTTGGTATCTGTCTTTGGTAAAATGTTGAAGGCTGCCTCGTGCTTTTTTCCCCTAGCCCGAAGACCATCATGCATTTCCCCTCCAACATCCCTCCGCTCGGCGTGTAGGACTAAATATTATGTGTCATTCATGCTTTGACGCCATTTTATATATTTACCGTAAGTCTACTACCATGCTTCTGTCAATGGAATTTCTAAAGGCAAGCTTTTCCAAAAGAAGACAAAACCCAAACAAAAAATGCCAGAAGTAGAGGAACCAAAAAAAAAGAAAATAATTCGCAGAAAATCTGCTGCAATGTAAATTCTAAAGGCTACAGTTTTTCACTTAATCCAAGGGATGTGATGCTCCAGCTCGTTTGCGGGTGTATCTGTGTGTGTGAGTTTTTTCAAACAAGATTTTCCATTGAAATAACAACGACACCCAAAAGAGGAAAATTGTTGTATACAATACAAAATGCACACACACACACACTCTCACACACATATGCATTACATTTGATTATTGTAGACTACAAAATAGAGATGAGTATGATTATGTTGATGACTTCCGTTTCTATGTGGGTGAGTATGTATGTGTGTGAGTATTTTGTTTTGTTTTAATGCTGGCAAGCATGAGGGGTAACTATGCATCATTCACATAATTTCTATGCAAAATGACGTATCTGTGTGTGTGTGTGGGAGCCCAGCATTGCAATACAGGAAATGAAAAAAAGCAACTAAATTAAAGATGCATTTCCTTTGGCACAATAACGACAACAACAACAACAGCAGCAGCAATACAAAGAAGAAGCAGAAAAATAATAATAATGATGATGATGACGATGATGAAATGCCAGCAATGGAAAATTATACGCGATTATTCTCCACACACACACACAAGCATGCATGTATACATACACGCCGCCACACAGCTACATCTTTGCCATACATCTCTTGAAACATAAAATGTCCTTTGTAAAACAACAGCTGGTACTGCTGCTGCCTTTTGTTTTCTATTTTTTTGCTTTTCTTTTCATTCTTGTGAACTTGAAGTCTAAGGGATTGATATAATCATTCCATAAATACAAGGATTTTTTCGCACCCCCCACCACCAACCCAAAACATATTCCATGAATAGCACAAGGCAACCATTCAGCCAGCCAAGTATTCAGCATAGCTTGGCATAACATCATAATTAATATATAAGATTTTAATTACATTTCAAAATCCCCAATATAAGCAGACTGGGAACGAACAAAAACAAAAACGGGAAGAAGTCGCAAAATCTTGGGATAAAAATTAATTCAAATTTTTGAGAGGAGGCATAAGATCCAACAATAAATTCATGAGAATAGAGGAATAGTTACATAAATTAAAAAAAAATATTTCAAAAATCATTGCATACTTTTTGGATGAGCACAGAATTGTGGAAGAAACACATCTAACAAAAATCAAAAATTTTCCAAAAAAGTGCTTATTTTCAATGAAAAATCAAACATTTCAAAAAATAGTGCATATTTTCAGGGATATAAAAATGTTAAAGTATGGCCTCTGGAAAAAAATCAACTTAAAAAGAAAAATACTTGATTTGAATAAGTCATACCATTTTAAAATATTTTCTAAACTAATTGTATAATCTCAGGAGACTCAGAATTTTAGAAAAAAAAACTTAAAATAACTATAAAGTTGCTCCAAGACAAGTAAAAAAATTAATGACAATGAAATATACTTTTTTAGAACAATTTTCAAAAATCACTGCATACTTTCAGGAGCTGGGAATATCAAA